TCTCTGTGTTCTAGTTGTCGATACGGTATCATTTTTATACTCCGAGTATTGGAAATTGACGTCATTGCATACCTTTGTTTTGTTGCTTTGGACGTCATTGCATATCTAAACATTGGCGTCGCCGTGCATATTTCCCTTTCCATTTCTTTTTGTCAAACAAAGACAGCCTTGAATACTATGAGCCCGTTTGGTAGCACGAAAATCAGCTGAATTGGCTGATTTTGTTGAAATTTATGAAGTTCTGGCTGAAGTGGCTGCATTGACTGATTCTACTGATTTAAGAAAAAATTATTTTTAAAATATATCTTATTAATAAAATAAAGAAAAAAGTATATGTAAAAATAGCTAAAATGGTCATCTACAGTAACTTCAGCCAATCCAGCCCGAAAAGTAACTCCAACCTTACTTTTTCTGCTTATTACACAATCCACCACGCGAAAGCAAAACTTACGTGTTTGGTGAAAAAGTTGGCTGATAAGCCTGATAAGCTGAAAAACATTGTTTCTAAACGGCCTTTAGAATATTCCACAACAATTTTCAGCACCAATCTTAAATACGAAGTACAACAAATAAATTCTATACTGCCTACAGCTCCAAAAACATTGTAGCGAAGTACCAATCTATCCTTCACATATTCCTCACAAATTAGAATTTAAGAGCCGGTTTGATAACATAAAAATTGACTAAATCAACTACTTTTGTTAAAATTTAAAATGTTCCAACTGAAGTGGTTGATTTTACCGGATTATAAAAAAAGGTTCAAAGTATATTTTGTTAATAAAATAAATAAAAAGTTATATGAAAAAAATATCTAAAATGATTTTCTATAATAACTTCTTTCAATTCAACCAAAAAAGTAATGGGAAAATGGAAACTAATAATCCAACCTTTTAGCGGTCTTCTTACAATAATCCAACCTTTTGGTTATTCATAAATAATTCAACCTTTGCACCTCATCTTCATTCACTGGTCCCTGACCGGTTGATGACCTGCTATTCCAAGCTATTTTCTTATCTTTGCAAATCATTATACCATAAATCTCATCTTTCACAAAGATAATATTTTGCAAAGATAAGAAAATAACTTGGAATAGTAGGTCATTAACCGACCAGGGACCAATGAATGAAGATGGGGTGCAAAGGTTGGATTATTCATGAATAATCAAAAGGTGGGATTATTGAAAGAAGACCGCTAAAAGGTTGGATTATTAGTTTCCATTTTCCCAAAAGTAATTATAACCGTGAATATTTTGTTTATGACACAATTCAGTGTGCACAATGAAAGTTAGGAAGGTGTTTTCGTCTTGAATTTTGGAAGAACTCTCTCCGTTGTTGTGCACTTTGAAAATTTGTTGAAAGTTTGGAAACTGTTTTATGGAGAAATAAAGCAGTTATAAAATGATAAATTATGTATTTTTAACTACATTTTTTTTACTGTCAACAAAAAAAATATACTTTCCCAATTGGATATATGGTCTCACAGTTAGAGAAAGACTAAAAATAGTGAACATTAGGAAAGACTACTTTTTTACAAACATCTAACATAAAGGTGTCATACTTACAAATATCAACATAAACTGTATTTTTAAAGGGAAACATTTATTTATTAATGATAAAATAATCAGTATAAAAGCAATTTAGATAGTCAAAAGTTAAATGTTATTAAACATGAAATTAAAATTCTCATTTTTAACAGGTTGTGACATTTTTTCTAAGACAAAAATGTAGACTTTTCTATCAACATAGAAGCTCATGTTACTAAATCAATAATAAAGACCAGTGCTAGTATTAACACTACTATGGGATATAAAACAAACATATAAATCGGTTCCACTATACTGGACAAAGAAATAACCGAAAATCTAATTTGTTTTAACCATCAGAAAGAAATAAGTAGATCATCAATTTGATCAACAACTGAGAAAAATTGTCAAAATTATTCTGTTTGACTATCAATTGAAAAAAGATGCAATAGGGCGCTATTTTTCTTTCATGTGATGGTTGCGAATAGGAATAACGAAATAAGTGAGATATGGTAGAAAAAATGTTTTTACTTAGATTGGTTTAAGTTCTAGATCAGATGAGACTAGAACATACATTCATTGACAGATTTAAAATTATTTTAAACCAATCTAAGTGGTATGTTTTTAAACCAATAAAATTGTTTTTCTACATTTTATAAAATTGTTTATGTATTGCATCAGGATTTGGTATGTTCTAGTCTGATCTGATCTAGAACTGAAACCAATCTAAGTAAAAACAATTTTTCTATTTAGGGAGATAATTCCCTAAATAGGAGTAAAAACATTTTGAAATTCCAAAATAGGAGTATCATGTTTTTTATTCCATAAATAGGAGTAAATTTCTGTCATGTCTGGACATTACAAGGTTTTAAACATGCCATTTTTTTTTCAAACTTGGCAGATTACTCCTATTCAACGAATAAAAAACATAATACTCCTATTTTGTAATTTTAAAACGTTTTTACTCCAATTTAGAGCAATTTCTATTTAGATAAATTAGATCAAATGTTAATGGTTATAAAATTTTGGTTTAAATATAATTTTAGTTCCTGCAAATATAACAAAATTTGTTTTAGGTCCTTGCAAAATATTTTCTTTGTTTTTCATCCCTGTAATATGCGCTATTTTGGTAAAGTTCATCTCTACCTGTGAAACAACTCGACTTAGAAGTTTTTCTATTGCCGGTAGCATAAATCTACTAGAAACATTTAAATTTATCAGTTCATAATATTTTGAAGCTAATAAGAGAGTTGAAACAATATGAAAACTAATTGTTCGCACTTTTAAAATATGTATTAAAAACCCTCAAAAACATGAAATTAAATACTTTTTGAATGACATGACAACAAATTAAAGAATACATATTAGTTGGGATTGTTTCGTTGTCCAGCGGAGGTTGTTATCATTAGTCATAGACTAAAAGGAAAATCAACGTAAATTTCAGAGATGAAAAACAAAGAAAATATTTTGCAGGAACCTAAAACAAAATTTGTTATATTTGCGGGGACTAAAAAATATTGAGTTTTTTTCCTAATTAATGTTAATTAATTAATTAATTACGGAATTAGGGATGGGTTAAAAGTATTTACCAAAATACTGCTGGATTAACCATGGTCGGGGTAAGTCGCCCAACGGTTGGGCGACTTATAAGTCGCCAAACGGTTTGGCGACTTATAAGTCGCCCAACCGTTGGGCGACTTATCATTATCAGATGTTGAAGGAAAAATATGGGTATACGGTATCTTACCGGAGAACATGGATGGGGAAGCAAAAGGCCATAGCACAAATATTTGGCGGTTGGGAAAAGTCATAGAATAGGTGTAGAATAAATACTAATTTTTTATGTTTATGAAAACAGATCACATGGATGCCGTTTAGACCTGATATGTTAGCAGAGTTGCCCCCAGCTGGACGAGAGCATACTCACATCTGGAGAGCACGTGTCCTGTTGATATGTTTTGACATTGTTGAGCTGCATTTGCCTGATAGAGTCATGCGACAGTTTGGGTTTGAGCAGGTCGTTCCACGTCCTATCGACACTTATGTAGAGCTGCATAAGCTGGATATGCGTGGGAAGCATACAGAGGATTGGGCACTCAGACATGTCCGATACGTGACTATGTGGGAAAGGAGAGCTGAGCTAGCTGTGGTTGGGACACCCACATATGTGCCATCTGTTTCAGGAGACTACATGGGATGGTACTACAGCATCACTCGGTTATTTGTGTCTCCTTCGTTCAGACTCCCTACTCATCATTATCAGCCTAGCTCCTTGGCTTTGCATCTTACGGTGAGTATATTAGTAATTAGTAAAGTAAGTCATTTTATTTATGTAATACTTGTATGTATTTGAATGTAATTGTAATTGTGTTTCATATTTCAGACACGAGCTTTGCAGCGCATACATCAGCGGGCTACTGCCACTGTGACTGATATTCCTGATGTGGACATGTATGGACAGGCTCTGACAGGCATTGCCTCGTTGTGCTCAGATGTGTTGGGCCGAGTAGACTACGGACATCTTATACACATGCCCCCATCTCAAGAGATGGCATCCACGTCCAGTGCAGCCGCGGCTTCATCATCCCAGACGCAACATGAGAGAGTGGTTCTTCAACCACGACAACGCCGTAGGCGTAGACATGAGCAGCAACATCTCCATGACGAAGCTGATGATGAGAACTTGTAGTTTGTCTTTTGTATTGTAGTTTTTCTTATGCAGTAGATGTTGTACGAACAATGTACAAGTTTTGATGTATTTTGCCTTGTTAAGTATTGTATGGTGTATTGATGTGTTCGAGTATGAATATTAGATGATTACTTGTTATGGCATATATGATGATTGTATTGTGTTATTCCGGTTATGATTTGAAGGTTTTTTACGGGTGTTTATAAGGTGTTTTTAATATTGTTGAGAGTAGGTCATTGTGAAGACGTGTGTTGTATGTTTTATAATGTGTTGTATCTAGTTCGTAATACTTTAACAGGAGAAGGGATACCTTATTTATAGCAAACAGATGAGTCTGGGTTGAACCGAGGCGAAAAACCTGATGAAATGCTGTTTTCGGACATAGGCACGATCGTGCGTACCCTTGTAGGCACGATCGTGCCTGGCTGGCAGTAGCTGCTCGCCTTCAACCATATTTCAGGGGTAAGTCGCCCAACGGTTGGGCGACTTATAACTTTATAAGTCGCCAAACGGTTTGGCGACTTATAAGTCGCCCAACCGTTGGGCGACTTACCCTAAGGGCCAGCAGTATTTTGGTAAATACTTTTTTTCCAGCATTATTTCCGTAATTAATTAATTACTTAACATTAATTCAAAAAAAAACTCAAAAATATTTAAATCTAAAATTTTCTATTCGTGAAAATGAATTACTCTCTATTTCTAAGATCCTTCCGTTTTTTTTTTTTTTTTTACTTTTTTCGTATATCCCTCCCGCCAATCACCTCACACCACGAAAGACAAACCTCATATCAGAAAATACGTCCAGGTTCAATGAACCTATAATGCCGCCTTCTCTTCAGGCGATTCTCTCCTCTTTATATCTCTCATGAGCGGTACACTATAGAGACACAAAAAGCTTCACAATTCGCAGAACCCAGAAGAAAAATTGTCCAAATTCTTATAGCAGAGCGTCGGAATATGGCATTGGCTTTCAGTTCTGCTGCTACCATTCGCGGTTCTCATCATGAACATACCAAAGGTAACACCCACACACCCACGTCTTCATATTTGCTGAAAGATCGAACCTTTTTGCCAAATCCATACTAAATTTACTAATTTGGGCGTTTTCCAGTGCCCCAAAAAGGATATCATCAACCGTTGGATCGGCCATTTCATCAGCCGGCGGTGGTTAGCTTTTCTCGCAGGCATTCTGAGGTAAAGCCATTGAATGCCGAGCCAAAGCGAAACGAGGCTGTCGTTGCCTCGGCAGCAACCTTAGCTGCTCCTGGTACGTTGACTTTCCTGGTCGTTTTCTTAATGATGTTTGAATTTTGTGTTAATGACGATTGGACCTTATGGTATATGGTGAAAATGCAGAGACTGCTGAGAAAGTAGAGTCAGAGGACTATGTGAAATTGGCTTATCAGCTTGAAGATGCTTCCCCCCTCGAGATTATGGATAAAGCACTCGAGAAATTTGGGAATGATATTGCTATTGCTTTCAGGTAATAAACACTATACTTAATATTGGATTATGTTGTAGGGGGTACTAATTAAGTCTTTGGGTACACCTGAAAAGAATTGAGTAATTGAATCAGAATAATCTTTTTCCGTGTCTCATTAATCATCATCAATCAGCTTATATACAATTGAGTTACAAGAAGTCTAGCCGCTACTGGGTTAACCGAATGAGAATCATTCTCCTATACGTAAGCTATAAAGTTAATCAGATAACTACAACTAATTTACATTCAAAAAGGAAAAAGAATAACAATAATAAATGAACAATAATAAAGCCGGCCAAATGTGTAGGTGCGGTCAAAAGTGTAGGTTTAGTCAACGGAAATAATATCAACACCCCCCCCTCAAGATGGAGCATGGGGATCTTGAATGCCCATCTTGGTAAGAAGATAGTGGAATTGAGAAGCACCCAAAGCTTTTGTGAGTAAATCCGCCAACTGTTCCTTGGTAGACTTGTAAGAAGGAATGATAGCCCCAGAGCGCACATGATCGCGAATAAAATGACAATCAAGCTCGATGTGTTTGGTCCGCTCATGAAAGACCGGGTTAGATGCAATATGAAGAGCAGCTTTATTGTCACAAAAGATGGTTATTGGCGAAAGCGGAATCCGTAAGGAAGAAAAGAGACTCTTCAACCAAAGAAGTTCACAAGTAAGAGTAGCCATGGATCTGTACTCAGCTTCAGCTGAAGAGCGGGAAACCGTAGCTTGCTTCTTTGTCCGCCAAGAAATTGGAGAACCGCCTAGTGTCACAAAATAACCTGTAACGGAACGCCGTGTGTTGGGACAACTGGCCCAATCGGAGTCGCAATAGCCAACAAGAGAAAGTGGAGAATTGCGGCGGAAGACAATCCCTTGACCCGGGTGACCCTTGAGATAACGTAGCACCCGTATAACAGCGTCCCAATGAGCATGTCGCGGCTGTTGCATAAACTGAGAAAGGATATGCACTGAGTAGCTAATATCCGGCCTGGTGAGGGTGAGATAGATAAGTTTTCCAACCAGGCGACGATAACGTTCAGGATCCATATATAACGGACCGTTGTCAGACTGGAGGCCGTGATTTTGGGACATAGGAAAATCGACCGGCTTGGCTCCTGTTAGACCTGTCTCATCAAGAATATCCAAAACATATTTCCGTTGGCATAAAAAAATGCCATGCGGACTACGTGCAATCTCTAAGCCAAGAAAATATTTCATGTGGCCCAGGTCTTTGACAGGAAAAGTACTAGCCAAATAATGTTTGAAAGAAGAAATCATTTCAGAACTAGTACCAGTAATGAGAAGATCATCAACATACACAAGAATACATAATAAGTGCCCCCCACGATGGAGAGTAAACAATGAATAATCAGCATGTGACTGAGAAAAGCCGTAGGTGAGTAAGGCGGCGGTTAACTTGGTAAACCAACAACGCGGCGCCTGTCGAAGACCATAAAGAGAACGAAGTAATTTGCACACCTGACCAGGTCGTGTCGAAGAGTATCCAGGAGGTAAATGCATATATACTTCTTCCTGGAGATCACCATGGAGAAAAGCATTGTCCACGTCCATTTGATGAGTCTCCCACCCACGTGAGGCAGCTATAGCCAAAAGAGTACGCACCGTAACCATTTTGGCAACAGGTGCAAATGTCTCGTCATAATCAATGCCTGGAACTTGCCGGTTACCACATACGACCAATCGGGCTTTGTGACGGTCAATGCTGCCATCACTTTTGTACTTTATTTTATAAACCCACTTACAAAAAATAGGGTTCTTACCGGGAGGAAGCTCCTGTAACTGCCACGTCCCAGTTCGCTCCAAGGCATCAATCTCACGCTGCATGGCCTCTCGCCAATGTGGATCCTTAACCGCCTCTCGAAAAGTACTCGGTTCTTTGGTGCCCGAGATGGCTGCAATAAAAGCACGGTGGCGTACCGAAAAACGGTTATAATTTACATAACGAGATAAGGGATATGGATTACCTGATTCGACCGTTGGAGGCGAGCGTCGGACGGGTGATGTGGCTATTTTCATAGTATTTATTTGCACTACATAGTCTTTATGCCACACTGGCTGCTGCTTAGGGCGAGTGCTGCGTCGGTCAATGGAAACAGATGTGTCACGTTCACGGTTGGACGCAGAAGCTGAGTCATCCAACGTTGTGTTACTAGGTTCCACGTGAATCCCAGCTCCTCCGGCACAAGGTGGGTCTTCTGTCAACAATATACGTGAGCTGGCAGCATCTTCACACGTTGTAGCCCCTGATGGAGTACTGGATGCATGCAAATCCTCTTCCATGTGATTATCAAAATGTGATACTGGGGGCCCGGTCATCATTATTTATAGTAGCTTGAGAATATGGAACCACCGGTGAAGTATCCTCCTTGGCAAGGTCGGCATAGGGAAATTTTGTTTCATCAAAGGTGACATCACGTGAAACAAAATATCGTCGGTTCTCAATATCATACAATTTCCATCCCTTTTGTGAATAGGCATACCCCAAAAAAACACACTTTAACCCCCGGGGAGCAAATTTATCACCATTTTTCCCTTGAGTGTGTGCATAGCACAAACAACCAAAGACACGTAAATGATCATATTTGGGTGCCTTTTTATGCAATATTTCATAAGGACTCTTAAACTCCAGAACAGAAGAAGGCAATCGGTTTATAAGATAACAAGCAGCCAACACACACTCGCCCCAAAAATCTATTGGCAAGTGTGCATGAAAACGAAGAGTTCGAGCGATATTCAAAATGTGTCGGTGTTTTCGCTCAACTCTTCCGTTCTGTTGAGGAGTATATACACAGGTTGTTTGAAAAAGAATTCCAACGTCCATAAAATAGGATTTCAAACACTGAAATTCTGTTCCATTGTCACTTCTAACAATTTTCACACGTTTGCCAAATTGTCGTTCTATCATTACAATAAATTGTTTAAGAAGCCGTGAGACTTCACTTTTTTCTTTCATCAAAAAAAACCCATACTGCTCGTGAATAATCATCAACCACGGTTAGGAAATATCTAGCACCACACGACGCTGGAAAGCGATAAGGACCCCACACATCACAATGAATCAAATCAAATATTTCAAGTGCTCTTGAATCACTAATATGAAAAGCATCACGGGTCTTTTTCCCACGCAAACATGCGTCACAACTTTTATTTAGAGCAGCATCTGACAAAGTATTATTGAAATTAATGACAGAACGTAAAACTTTGACTGACGGGTGTCCTAACCGGGAGTGCCACAAATCACTTTGTTCCTCTGTTATTGAGCAAGCACGAACAGGATCCAAACTATGAAAATAGTACACACCACCCTGTTTTTCACCCGCTCCAATCGGCGTCCTCGAAAGTAGGTCCTGTATCACACATATATCATTAGCAAAAAATATACCGCATTTCTGTTCATCAATTAATTGTGCTAAAGATATGAGATTGCACGTTAATCCAGGGACTAATAGCACATTAGTCATTTTAATTGCTCTGCTCAACTGCACATCCCCTTTGCCTGTTGCATGTGTAACCTCTCCATTTGGTAAGAATATAGGCATCGGTGGAATTTTATGGATATTCGTCAATATAGATTCCTGGCCAGTCATATGTAAGGATGCTCCGGAATCCAGTAACCATGCAGTAGTATTTAAATTCTTACCTGCGAGCTTATCATGTGGGGGTGCCTTACATTGATTCACAAGCTGGACAAATGCTTTCCACTGGTCATCCGTGAAAGCAAGTGCACGCAAGGATTCTGCCGAAATCAATGGATTTGCCATAGACAAATCGGTCGTGAAGTAATTGGTCGTCAAGATCGTTCGTGAAGAGTAGGTCTTGGATCGTTAACCCGCTCTGATACCAAATTGAGTAATTGAATCAGAATAATCTTTTTCCGTGTCTCATTAATCATCATCAATCAGCTTATATACAATTGAGTTACAAGAAGTCTAGCCGCTACTGGGTTAACCGAATGAGAATCATTCTCCTATACGTAAGCTATAAAGTTAATCAGATAACTACAACTAATTTACATTCAAAAAGGAAAAAGAATAACAATAATAAATGAACAATAATAAAGCCGGCCAAATGTGTAGGTGCGGTCAAAAGTGTAGGTTTAGTCAACGGAAATAATATCAACAAAAAGCCCTATGGTGTATTAATTCTTGGTAATGACAATTTTATGTTAGCTCTTTGTTCCAAGTTCTAGTTGTAGCGCTAAATATGTCTTTCATTAGTTCAGTTATTTTCTTTGAAAGATGGTGCAATTCATTCATAAATTCGTTGAAGGCTTAGTCGGTTGCAATCATCCTTTAGTTGATGGAAATGATCTAAAATCTAAAAGCCTGAAACATTGGATGAATTGAATTATTGATGGGAAAATATTATTTTTAAGAGAGAAAATAAAAACATGTTTTGAACTATTTGGACTTTGGAGCATTGTGCTAGAGAGAAGAGGAATACAAGCTGCTTTTTTCATTTTCATTTTCTAAGATGACATTGCTCGTCACTAATTTTCCAACTTCCTTTTTTTTTTCCAAAAGAGAATTTCGCTTTTTTTGACTTTGGTTTTGGTGTTGTAATTTCTTGGTCGTTTCCTGTAAGTGGCTGACACATTAGTCACTTATAGAAATATTTGGTTATTTCTTTAGTGTATAATAATGAATAGGTGAAATAAAAACGAGGAAAGGCTATAAGAGAATAATCACTCTTTTATAATCTGTTCTAGATGCTTTTGGTTAAAGATAGGTGTTTGTATGATTGAAGTCATTGAACAGATGAAATAGAAATGAGGGAATGCAGTAAATAATCTAACTTATATGGGCTGTGCTCAATTGGGTGTCCATTTATGGATTAAAAATAGGGACTTGTATATGCAACTGTAAAATTAATCTCCAGCTTGGAGTGTTATAATGATTTATTTGTGCAGGTAGTTTAATGGTAGACTTGATATGCTATGAACTATTTTATGAACTTTAGATGAAAAACAGAGTTTAGGCCTGTCTTCTGATTGTATGGTGATTTGAAAATTTTGCAGTGGTGCAGAAGATGTTGCATTGATAGAGTATGCACGCCTAACAGGACGACCATTCAGAGTGTTCAGTCTTGACACGGGCAGGTTAAACCCAGAGACATACAAGTTCTTTGACACAGTTGAGAAACATTATGGTATCCACATCGAGTACACGTTTCCCGACTCAGCCGAAGTTCAGTCTCTAGTTAGGAGCAAAGGGCTCTTCTCGTTCTACGAGGATGGCCACCAGGAGTGCTGCCGTGTGAGGAAAGTGAGGCCCTTGAGAAGGGCATTAAAGGGATTACGTGCCTGGATCACCGGTCAGCGCAAAGACCAATCCCCTGGAACTAGAGCTGAAGTCCCGGTTGTTCAGGTAGACCCTTCGTTTGAGGGGCTGGATGGCGGGGTTGGAAGTCTGGTGAAGTGGAACCCTGTGGCGAACGTTAACGGAAATGACATATGGAACTTCCTTAGAGCCATGAATGTGCCTGTGAATTCTCTGCACTCCCAAGGTTACATCTCTATCGGGTGCGAGCCGTGCACCAGACCTGTCTTGCCTGGTCAACACGAGAGGGAAGGTCGGTGGTGGTGGGAAGATGCAAAGGCCAAGGAGTGTGGTCTTCACAAAGGTAATCTTAAAGAAGAAACCTTGAATGGGGTTGGGAATGTGAGCATCCTTGGAGAGGACACCCCAGCTGAAAAAGACATTTTTGATACCAAGAATATTGTTACCTTAAGCAGGCCAGGAATTGAAAACATGTTGAGAATGGAAGAAAGGAAGGAGCCTTGGCTTGTTGTTCTATATGCACCATGGTGTAGATTCTGTCAGGTAAATTTCTTTCAAGTCATCTCATCCCACACATTGTAAATATAAATGTATCTTCTACCCCCTTTCTCTTAAACTTAGTTTAGAAGTCATATTTTTACCATTTTTGATTTTTTGATCTGTAAACTTTGTATTAAAACTAATAAAAAATGTTAATTTGCAGGGTATGGAGGAATCATATGCTCAACTGGCAGAGAGATTAGTGGCGTCCGGGGTGAAGGTAGCAAAGTTCAGGGCAGATGGGGAGCAGAAGGAATTTGCAAAGAATGAATTGCAGCTTGGGAGCTTCCCCACAATAATTTTCTTTCCCAAACATTCCTCACATGCTATCAAGTATCCATCGGAGAAGAGGGACGTAGATTCATTGCAAGCTTTTGTGAATGCCCTGCGGTGATACTGTGACGTGTTTGTTTGTATAATAATTGTAAAATTTGTATTGTTCATTTTATGTAGCGCTTGTTTGGTCAGGCAGCACCCTTTCAAGTTTCAAGCATGATCTCTGGAATAATTCTAAAAAAAGGGATTAATCCAAGTACTATGGAGTATCTCTGGAATTGCAATGGATGGTATTGGGTGTACAATCGTTATTATCTTGCAGAACCTCAATCGTTAGTATCTCTGAAATAAAAATTCAAAGTTGATAGCAATAATCCCAACTATTGGCGGTCGGCTCATAATAATCTCAACTATTGATTATTACAGAATAATCCCAATTTTAGGGACCTTCCGCCAATAATGGTCCCTATGAATAAATTCTTGTAATTTCTAAAGTGGATGAGATGAGATATAACAAGTAATCCCTATAAATAATCTCAATTTTTTGACCTCAAAAGTCAAAACCATCATTTGCTACCACAAGCAAATACAACTTCCAAAATCATAAACCGAACTCCTCACTGCAACAAACTCTAACCATGCAATAGATTCTTTCTTAAGCTTAGCAAGCTGTTGCCTGACAACCCTTTTCTTCTGAACGATCAACTTCTTTCCCCAAGTGCTGCTTTCCCATTTTCCGTTCACAGTAGCCTCCTCCCAACTTCTAAAGACCAACCTGGCCTAGGCCCGGGCCCGAGTCCATCTAGGGGTGGACTCGGGACGGGCGGCCCGACCCGGAACCGGCCCGGCCTGGTTATTGTTGAGCCCGACCCGGCCCGGAAACCGGTGGGCACAGCGGTTCGGGTCGAACTGGCCTGGCCCTTGGGCGGTTCGAGCTCGGGCCTATGTTTTGGTGAACCGGCCCGGCCGGTTCGGGCCGGAATTTAATTTTTTTTTTTTGAAATTTTTTTAAGTTTTGGGTTGGATAAGGTATTTTGGGCCATTTGAGGTGGTTTGGGGTGGTTTGGGGTGGAGGGGGAGGGGTAGGGGGTTAAATAAGAGAAGAAGAAAAAAAATTTAAAAAATAAAAATCCGGGTGGCCCGGCCCGGCCCGGCCCGCCCCTGGCTGGCCCGGAACCGGACCCGGAACCGCCTACCACCGGTTCGGGCTCGGGCCTCATTTTTCTGGACCGAGGCCCAGCCGGGCCCATGCCCGAACCGGGCCCATGCCCGAACCGGCCCGGGGCCACCCTTAAGTCCATCACTAGTTTTAGGGATCTTAAATGACTCCCGCTTTGTATACATGCCACCACGCCGGTCAATAACGAACTGATTGGCGTTTTATGAACAAAATCGTCGTTTTATGAACAAAACCAATTTTGACACAGTCAATTTTATTTGTGTCACATGCAATTTAAATTGTTTGTATGGACACAATTTAAATTGTCCGTATATAGACAATAATCTTTACAGGCAAATGAAAATTTGTTTTCTTCATAAGACGTCGGTCAAACTGTCTGTACACAAACAGTTTGACCGGCGTGTATACCGGCTTGTACAAACTGCTGTGTACAAAAGGAATTTTCCACTTAAAATTTAATTGACAATCCGACAAAACCCTAAGTGTAAATGTTAAACACAAGTTATTATAACTAAAGGTGTTACTGTACTCGCTATAATTAGGGGGTCACATTGTTTTAAACATTTTGTTATTTTGTTATAAATACATATTATTTCACCTTTGTTTCAACAGATCAATCAAATTTTAGAAAAATCGAAAAAACATGAATGGACACATATATTACCTATGCCGTTGTGTAATACAAAATAGATATTACTTCTCTGTTTTTTCAAAGAATATGACTAATCTTTTGTTTAATTAATTCATCTATCCTTCATTGTAATTTGCTACGTATTAATTTATATAAAATCTTCGCCTTAGCCCCCCCCCCCTTCCCACACCTGCACGGTCACGGTCACGATCAGATCCGTCGACAGAAAAGTTGCCGGAAACTGCCACCTGAAAAGTAGTCAAATTTTTTTTTTGCTAATTTTTTTTCTTTTTTTCTTCTTTTTTTTCTTTTTTCAAAAAATCACTACAAAAAGTCACTGATCTTTTTTATGACAGTCATAGTGACATGTGTTGAGTTTAATCCAACACGATATAGTAAATATAGATATAATTTGGTATGAACACTTGATCTTTACGTGGAAACCCGAAAGGGAGAAAATCACATGACTTTTTAGGTTAATGTCCAAGCCCTCTCATTTTCATTAACCTCTCCTCACCATTAATGGAGTCTTGCAAGCTAGCTAGAAAGGAGGAAGTAGAAGCTAAAAGGGGATCCAAATGGAGGCTAAGCTCCCTATTTATAGATAAAGGGGAAGGGGGCGCTCTCCACCCCAAAGGTCGAAACAAGCCTGATAGGCTGAAACGAGCTTCACTGGTTGGGTTCCGTACTATGTAAAGTCTTGAGCTTCTGAACAGTAATAGACGAAGATAATATACCCCAACAACATGTTTCACCACGACAGTGACATTCTTAACTGATGTGAAAATTTGATGGTGACATTTATAGGGGTATAATACACCAAACTACCTCGTGAAATATGAATTCGATGCATTAGCCTCTTGTGATTTAAAAATGCATTAGATCCCCCTGTGTTATAGTCATTCATGCGCAAAACTCTTTCTATGAATAAATTTAATTGCCAAAACAATGAAAAAAATTAGACTTCTTGTATAATTTAGAAATTTGGACAAAATTACTTGCATATGCAATCATATTATTAAGAAAAGTGGTTTCAAAATTGTAAAATTTGTTCTGGGATGGAGTTTTGTATATGAATAATTAAAACACATGAGAATTCTAAGCATTTTTTAAATTACAGGGAGTTAATGCGGCGAATTCATATTTAACAAGAGTGTTTGGTTCATTAAACCTCATTTATTAGTTACATGTGACATGAAAATTATACGAAGTACTTGTCAATTTGTGAAAATGGTCATTTTTCTTAAATTGACCTGAATTTGGTCATATTTAAGAAAAATCCCAAAAAAACTTGTTCTTCCGTGCCATGATTAGTTTTAAGCTTTTTGTGTCCACCCGAGTGGTATGACCATTACGACTCTGTTCTTGACCGAGAAATAACTACATACGAGTAATAAAGTTAGGTTGATCACGAATTGGAAATGCTTGAGATAATTGGGATTTGGATTGAATATTGTTGACATTTGCATTACGTTGAGCATCGACTTAATGCATTGTTAGTGCAATGAACAATTAAAATATGTTCCTACCTTTCACCTTCATCCATCAGGATTTTCAAGCCCACAAATTAAACATCTCATTCTCTGATCTATATAAACATCAGCCAGGTTAAGTATGATACATTCCATATTTGCATGCAATTAAGTGCATATTCTCAGAAGATCATCCGAAAGAAAGTACAAAATGACTTCAAAAGTAGTGTTCTTCCCTATACTAATCCTTTTGGCCGGAGGAGATCTTGTTTTTAGAACAAATGCTAGGCCTAGTCCGGACGATGCTGCTGATTTAGAGAAGATAGGTTTCCATGATGACCAGAAAACCTTCTTCCACTACAAATATGGGTTTCCTCCCTACTATGGGGGAGGTGTGGGAGGAGCAGGTGGAGGGTCTGGTTTTACGGGAGGCCCGGGTTTCGGTGGAGGTGGCGCTGGTTTCGGTGGCGGTTTGGGCGGTGGAGGCTTTCCTACACCCGACCTCGGCAGTGGCGGTCCATCCGGTTTTGAGCCCGGGGCTGGGAGCGGGTTCGGGTCGAGTTTTGGCGGGTTTGGCGGTGGCCCATCGGGTTTCGGGGGCGGTGCTGGAGCTGGGTTCGGGTCTACCGTTGGAGGCCTCCCAGGAGGCTCATCGGGTTTCGTACCCGGCGGAGGCGGTGGTGGGATGGGGACTAACTTTGGAGGGTTTGTTGGAGGCTCTTCTTCACAGTTTGGGGGTGTAGGAGCAACTGAAGGTCCATTTGGTACAAGACTTGAAGCTGGCCTCGGCGGTGGCGCCACCCCTGCAGACGACAACGCCAGCAGCGACACCGACAGTAAGACGCCCCCTGCCGCAGAAGTAATCGGCGATGGCATGTAGACTTCACCTATTGATTTATAGATATATAAATCTCCACATGCATGAGGACCATAGGATTTGCTAATTTGATTTGATCACATAACAAATAATTTGGAACAATATTAATTATTTGTATTAGTACTGTAACAGGCAACCCACAACCAAGCGAATTCCAGTGTTGCTGTCTTTTTAAGATGTTTATACTTAATGTAACTAGCTGGCTAGCTCTACATTTGTTATGCATTTCACTGAATGGAAGTTAAGTTTATTACTTGAATATGTTTTACTACGTACTATATGTTTGTCCAATGTGGATAATAGATGCAGACTAGAGATGTAGAGATGGTTGAGTGTTTTAGTCTTGCTTGTTTCACGTAACTATATGCTTTTATCCTTCTCTTTTTACTTCGTATGTGATTTGGGAAACCAAACAGGTCCCTTTTTTAGCTGATGCTTTTTTCAGACTTTAGGTATCTTTAGTCTCTTTAAGGGTAATATTTAGACTGAGAATTGAGATATTATCCAAGATGGCATATTTAGAGACAGTATTGTGATGTAGAAATGAGAATTCAAACATTACTTTTAAAAGGTTCCAAGATTTTTATCAGAACTAGTATAGATTTCTCATTTCTAGTGTTGCTTCTATGAAAGGCACATGAATCACCTACAACAAGGGTGTTATGCAAGAAAATTAAGGCCTAAAGTTTGGGGTGTGGATGAATATTAGCCAATGTCATTTATGTCTAGGGATCACCAGAAAGTATCTTCAAGAGGACTTGCGATATTAGCTCGAAAGAAAGTGGGGAATTGAAAGAGGAGATCATATCTTGACATGTGTAAGTGAGTCAAATGGAACATCTCCTATATTTAATACAACGTATTTAAGATTTTCCCCATGTCATTAAGTTCAAGTCATGAAATTGAGAGTATTTTCCCAACCGATGATCGTCTAGCCCCCGAGACTAGCACGAATAATCGTATAATCATTATTTTGTCACTGATGCGCGGTGACATATAGATGATAGTGAGAACCTAACACAATGCTCGAGCGACTCAGATTTATATTTTCAAAGGTTTAGATGGATGGAGAGCTCATGGTTAGTTAACTCCACACTACATTTAGATTCACTTTAGTATTCCTTAGATCTACACTAGCTTGAGCTCAAATACGTATTAGGCTCTCATAAAAGAACCCATTAATTAACTAGTCCAGTTGTAATTAATTAAAATTCTATGGGCCACTTCATC